CAAATAAACTATAGTTGAATGACCATTTCAAAACATTTTACAAAGCGTTTCAAGTTAAATTTTACATTAAATCAAAGCTCACAAAATGCAAAATAATATACCTACAGTATATATTTCAGAAATTTATTGTTGTATAGTTAAAAGTACGAATCTTTCAACTATTTTGCAGTTTTGTACAAAAAATATGAAAAAATTTAAGAATATTGTATTGTCATGGCAACACTTGAGCATGAGCATGCATTCAGTGGGCCATTTCTGAATACTTTATGTTAATTTAATGTTTGGAAAATATTGGCGAGGGGTTACTGGATGCATGTATTTCTAGTATTATGACTAAATGTATGTCAAATTTACAACAAGAAATTTATGATATTGCTTGCTGGATGTCTGATAACATGAAGCTCGATGCAAAGAAGGAGTTTATTAAATCGCATATGGTGCAAATATGCGATCATTATTAACATTTTCTGTAATTGCAATATTGGTGCCAAATTCTTGCAAATACAACAATCACACAATTAGTCTGGTAAATTAGTTACAGACTGGACAAAAACACCAAACCTTGTATTCGACTACCTTTTGGTGCAAAGTTATAAAAAATCCTATGCTTCAAAAATTTTGCCCACTAGGAGACAAATATGACATCATGCATTTATGACTAATTTTAGTCAATTGGCAGTTGCATATTATATCCATTTGAATGGGGAAATCATGTGTATGCATGTAGAATGGTGTAAATATATGTGAACTCTCATATAAACAAGCAAGATGAAAAATTCCCATATAAACACTTCATCCCGGCTAGGTGGGATGAACTTTTCCTTTGAGCATGCGTAAGTGCCTTTTCTGCAAAAAATATGGCATCAAGCACTTAATGGCTTCATCCCGGCAATGTATTTTGTCCATATATCAGCGATATAAACTCGCTATCCCGCCTTGACAGGAAACTCACCTAAGTAGGATGAAAACGTCCCATCCTGCCTAGGCATGATATAAACAGGTGCCAGCACTCTCCCCTTGACAAGTAAAATTGTCTGGTGTTGGACAGAGTAAAATTAAGGTGGGGCGCAATGCGACTCAATGAGTTAATAGTTATTTTCTTGTACCATAATTTAACTGCATGATAAATACTGCATTTCCCTATTTTTGTGGTCACTATTGTTTAAAGTTAAGGATGAATAATTAATATTTGGAAGCTGTTTTTCAACCTTTGATTTGCACCATGCCTATGGGGCCTACAGCATTGAGATACAAAAGGCAATTCGAATTCATGAGCAAAACAGAAACACTGGCTCCAAAACTCTAACTCAGCTATTGCAGGGGTTTTTTTCTTTAAACATCGTAGACAATTGGGTGGATATACCAAGTTGTTTTAGAATCATAACTCATAATACAGTAAAAATTCTTCAAGCTTTATACCTTTACAATCACTGGTACAACTTCTTTTATGCTGGAAACGTCCTGGTTTTTCATGGTCTCTTGCAATGCTAAAATTTTGGCATTTTGTTCCAACAAGATGGTCTTTGATTTTTTGCTATTGGTTTTGCTGGCATGTTGTACTGTTTTAAGACAACTCGGATTAATGCAAGATAAATTTTAAAAATATGTTATATGTCCAAAGTGTCATTCTTTATACGATTTCGAAGATTGCTACCTTACTGAAGGGTCATCCAACAAATAGAAGAAGTGCAAAAACTGAAAGGGGTAGCATTGAAAGACAATACTGTGCAACTTTACCCACACAAAGTTTACTGCCACCAGAGCATTATTCATGGTATGAAAAGATTGGTGAAAATGCCAAACTTTGTTGATAGTTGTGAATTGTGGCGCACTTGTGAAGTGCGTTTCTGTTGGTCAAATAATGAGTGATATTATCAATGTGCGGATTTGGTGAGATTTTCAAACCTGTGTTAGAATGAAGGTGTTTAGAATGAAGGTGTACCATTCTTAGCTGCTCCATGAAATTATGCTTTGATGTTGACCGGATGCAGCTGTTTGACCATATCAAACCTCGTGTTGATGAATCTTCCCAGACATGAGTGTTTTAAGAGAGAAAATGTAATTTTTGTTGGCATTTCTCCAGGTCCCAGTGAGACCCTGTTTAATATGAACACATATCTTTCACCTGGTGTGGATTAACTTCTAATTCGGTGGAACGATGGTGTCATGATAGGACATACTGGTTTGCAAATTATTCCTGAACGTTTCAGAGCAGCTTTACTATATGTTGCATGTGATATTCCTGCTAGCAGAAAAGTATGTGGTTTCACCAGTCATTGTTCTAGAATGGGGTGCAATAAATATACTGAAGTTTTTGGAGTAGGGAAGTGGGCATTCCCAAATGACTATTTGGGTTTTGAGAATTGTCGATCAAGGAATATCATAGAACACAGGAGACAGATCGAAGAGATACATAGAATACAGGAAGCTAGAAGTGCCACTGAATCTTTATATGGTGCAACATATTCTCAGCTTCATAGTGTTAAACTCTAAATTAACTCAACTAATATTTAGAAATTGTAAAATAATTGATAGGTCAGACCACTGGTTTCTGTTGTTATTCAAGGAGTCTCTTGCTATACGCAGACGAAAACCTGATCTCAACCACGGTGCGAAAGCTTCCAAAGAACTTCTCATATTTCATTAACTGGCATTTAAGCTCCGCCTTTCTGGCTTTATAATAGCTGCATCTGTAATTTTACACTATTATTAATCCTGAGGATGACTACAAACTAGTCGAAACGTCGATTAAAAATCAAAATGTTATTCGGAGTTACTATTATTTTGTATTTTCTTAAAATACTAAGTGGTTCCCGTAAATATGGTAAAGATTGTGTAACAATACATGCAGATTTTATTTTAGACTATGGACCTATCTATAGCTCCTGGCTTTTCAGCTTTGAATGATATAATGGAATTTTTGGTAAATACCATACCAATAACAAATGTGTTGAGTTACAGATGATGAGGAAGTTCGTTAGGTATTGGGATTTGGACAAAATTGAGCAAAGATCAAATGGAGCCCCTAATTTCCAAGGTTCAGGAAAACAATTGTGTATGAGATCTGTCTGTTGATTGTGCGAAGATATTAAATTGAACAACCTTTACCCCTGGCCTCTTGCTCAACAAGGCCGCCCTGGGAGGCAGGTGTTTAGAACGTGACAATTTCCATGTTTCATACTCAAGAGAATTTTACGGTCAAGTTATGCGTAAGTTAGCGATCGCCCCTAGCTTCGCCACAACAAGTTAAGAGTGCACAATTACAGTATAACAATGTTACTTGTGTGACTGACAAACGACCTTATCCCTGGCCTCTTGCTCAACAAGGCCGCCCTGGGAGGCAGGTGTTTAGAATGTGACAATTTCCATGTTTCGTACTTAGAGAATTTTACGGTCAAGTTATGCGTAAGTTAGCGATCGCCCCTAGCTTCGCCACGACAAGTTATGAGTGTGTGATTACAGTATAACAATGTTACTTGTGCGACTAACAAACGACTTTACCCCTGGCTTCTTGCTGGACAAGGCCGCCCTGGGAGGCGGGTGTTTATAATGCAACAATTTCCATGTTTTGTACTTAGAGAATTTTAAGGTCAAGTAAGTTAGCGATCACCCCTAGCTTTGCCACGACAAGTTACGAGTGTGCTATTACAGTATAACAATGTTACTTGTGTGACTAACAAAGATTACTAACTTACCATCAATACCAGGTAATGTTTAATCATTTGGGCAGCTCCTATCCTTCCAAGGAAGTTTTAATCATTTGGTTGGGTTTACTGTGCATCATATGCTTCTATATTGTTCCATATTGCATCATATGCTTCTATATTCGTATTTTTCATCGTATTGTATCCACATGCAAACGGCCTGGTAATAATAATTATTAATTTTATCAACTTTTGAAAGTCTGGTGATTATGTTGTCATAATTTTACGTGATAAATGAAATAGTAAAGAGGTTGTAAAGTTGTAGGGTATGTGTTAAGCATAATAAATGTTGAATCAATAAGAATACCAAGATCTTGATACATTTCTCTTGTTGTAATGGTATATTATTCAAGGTTAATTCTAGATTAAAAAGATAATTTTCTTTGAGGTGAGTGAAAAACAACAAAAGCTGATTTTTCTATATTCTATGAACACACATTTCTATATAACAGTTTGTTGACGATTTTCAAAATATGATATGAGCCAGTCAAGAGCTATACCTGTTACGTCATAATATTCCAATTTTCTTATCAAACGCTTTACTTTTCAAGAAAATCTAATGGTTTACTAAAGATAAACAGGAGGGCAATATTGAGTTGCACAGTTACTACACTAAAGGCTTTCCAGTCTTAAGTTGGGATATTTCTGTCTGAATTTCATTAGTAGTAGCAGAAATATAAAAAAAACTATTTGGTAATGGGGATTTTAGATTTTCTATTGTCCAAATTAGCCAGATTATTTACTATGTTTGTAAAATAGTTATTGAATGCATTAGCAATAATTTTTGGGTCAGTTGTAATATTGCCTTTTACTAATCTTCAAGAGACGATTTAAATATTTCTTAAAAAGATTATTTTTCATAATTGCAGGCGTTGTCCATGGTTTTGATCCATTGTTTCTGATATTTTATCATAGAAAGAACCAAACATGCATGCTAGACAGATTGCAATCGGATGTAACTAAATCTGTCACATCAAATTTAGAGTAGGGATATTAGAAATTAGGGAAGCTATATTAAGAAATGGCAAATTACCAAGCTGTGTTATCCTGTCGACAGTGACATTCGGAAGTGTTACTTCTAGACATTTCAAGGTATTAGTGATACTCATTAAAATTTAATAAGACATTACATTGTAAGATATTTATTAAAAATTAAATGATAATTACAATGTTTTGTTGGTTAAATCAGCTTGAGCGCTGTTCTCCATTCTCTATAAAGTTACTGAGCCGTAGGTACGTTGTTACACAGCTTGTTAGAATGAAGGCCTTGTTGAGTAGAGAAGATGCTGTTGCCAGTCAGCTGCTTGGATGTGGCATCATACGTTCAATATCTGGATGAGATAGAACAGGACTGGCAGGACGACCTTCATTCGCATGGGCTGCTGCATTGTGCAAAAGCATGACGGGGCTGAGAAACCGATGGCCATCGCCTCTGCGAGCGTTTATAGGGGAGATGTCCCACAGACTTGAATTGGCGCAGAACAAACACCTACAGGCAGATGGAACAGCAATGGTGTTTGGACTGTTACTTCTGAACATTTCAATGTATTAAGGGGCTGTTCATATGGTCCCACTTGCCGAGATTAAATTACAATGTTGTTCTATGATTAGCGTATGCAAAACTTCTACATTTCAGTCAAGCAACACAAATATTTAGCGATTTTAGTATATCTCATATCTCATGTGAACACAATGCAAAATTTTGTAGGAAAATAACTAGGCAGCAAGATCATCAGTAATCGAGACATTCCGGTAAGCGGGATCATATGAACAGGCCCTAAGCCATGGCCTAAACCTAGGTAACATTGTTGCGGAAACATTTGTGATTATCGATGCTTCCCGAGAAGCAAAAATATTTCCTAGCAAATTCAGAAAAATTTGATGTTTCTCACTAATGTTTCCTAGTGTTTGCTCACTCTGGCAGGAAACAATGTTTCCTGGCTTTTTTTATAAATTATACTCAAATAATTTTAATAAGACATTACATTGTAAGATATTTATTAAAAATTAAATATTCAGTGCAAATTTCCTTAGGAAATTCTTTTACCATTGTTGTGTTCTAATAGCGGAAATACGTAGTGGACGGAAGTGAACTGTGTAGCGGGATTCGATATATTTTTATATATTGTTTCTCATAATATAACAACCATAATATGTGTATGATACTTACAATGTTTTGTGGGTTAAATCAGCTTTAGATACCACATTTTTAAAGATTCCACAGATACACCATTGTTTAATATCAGCCATGTCAGCTATCAAATTAGTTAGAAGGCTAAATCGGAGTCAGAAACGATAAGCAGTGGATCGGACTTAGAAACGATAAACAGTGGATATTGCTTACATACCCTTACAGAAAGTGCATATCCAATCACCATCTGGTATAGACGATAATCCAACACAACCCATATGGAACCACTCGACTGGACAAGTGGGGTTGTCACAGGCGATCATGTCCCCATACTCGCCTTGCCCACATAAACAAAACATGTCAACACCTAAAGAAACAACAGTAAAAAAAGTTACGTGATTAGTGCTTATGTAGACAATGCAACCATTTCCCAAAAGTAGCATCTAAAAACAATTTTAACCCTTCAACATGCAATGCGGCGTGTAACCAGCATGCGTCCTACTTAATCATTTTACTGTGTCTAACGTCAGACCATTTTAATAATAAAAGGGAACAGTCCTGCACGTTAATGGTTATTGGGGTTAATAGTATTAAATTCGAGAAAATGACCAAAATCGTTGATAAAAGGTGTTTGCGCGCACCTTTGCAAATCGTACAAATCCAGTCACCATCTGGAGCAGAAGATAGTCCAACACACTCCATGTGAAACCATTTCACTGTGCAGATAGGGTTGTCACAGCCAATCATCTTGCCAAACTCGCCTTGCCGACAAACACAACACATCTATAAAACCATGAAGAAATCCTTTTTAGGAACAAACATGATCATTTATTGCCACCCTAAGCATTTATAGCTAAGACAAGCAAGTCGATGAACTAAAACACAATCTAGTAATGTCACGGTTAGAACACAAAAATAAAGTACTGTACATTGGCAATTTTTAGTTTATCTCACCTTTGGACTACTCGTTGTTGATCGCAGAGCTGGTTTTCTTCTGACGTCTTGTAATGGCTGCTTGTTTTGCCCCTGCTTTCCTCCTTGTAGCAACATCAGAAACGTGTTGCAGCCACATTTGAACTTCTTCCTCAGTTAATAGTGTTCTTCCTCAGTTAATAGTGTTTCCTTTGCTAGTTCTACAATATCTTCACTTGATAGACTTCTCCCTTCCCTTTCAGCACTCATCCGTGCTTCTGAAACAACTACAGATGGAGGCTTAAACATCATCCCCCTTTCCCCATGTGCTTGGTAATGCAGGTAATGGTCTTTTGGGTTGAGATAGTGACCAACACACTTTCCACTGCACTTTTCACAAGGGCCTCCCCAGGGTCGTTTTGGGTCCGCAATCGGTACGGGAAAATAGTTTAACTTTGGACCAGTGGGAAACCAGGTGTTGTCAAAGTCCTCTGCATTGGGTTTACACTTTGGATGAGGGCAATTTTTTATTTTACATGGTAGTAGCATGAAGACGTAAGGTTTTGACAGATTTTTCACCATGTGTCTATTGCGGACACCCCAAATCTCTTCAAAGTAGTTGTACAGTGTTGCATCGTTCTCTTTCAGGGCCTGCTTCTCGATCTTCTTGCCACCTAGATAAGTGAGCAACTTTGGACGTCTTTCTGCCAAATACTTTGCATGTACTCCACTTGCACCTTTGACGAGCGTCACTGGTTGTTGGGCACATGGTGCGCCATTAACTTTCTTTATGTAAACATCCGTAGCTAAGTCCAAATTTTTTGCTAATTGTTCCTTGTCTAACCCTTCTTCCTTATGTGAGGCAGATTCATCAGAACCTCCATCGACACGGACATACTCAACCTGTTTATCACAAAAGAGTGATTTAAACTCTGATTTTTCCTCCAACATTTGCAGATATGCTGCATGTTGCGCTGGACTTTTATCGAACAGGTTATGAGCCTTTACCACTCCACCGCACACTTCCTTTGTTGTTTCAGTAGACATAAACATGTATGACGATACTTGTAAGATGGATGTGTATTTGTTCAGATAATCAGATCTGGTTGTCTTCTCGGGTTCATCACATATTGAAAAGGACACATGCTGTTTGTGGGTAAATGTTGTGTCAAGTCGGAAACCAGCAGCATCGTCTCTATTTAAAGTTAATGATTTAGTACCATCTCTTAACTGCAGGTAATCAAGACCGCGGTACATTGCTGAGCTGTAATGCACGTCTGGATTAAATTTAACCGAGAAACCTTTACGTGCTTTCCGACAGGTTATTTTAGCTATGCCTTTGTAACGCTTAGCAGACAATCTTCTACGATTTCTTGCCACACAAAGTTGCACAATCGTACCATAACCAAAATTAGTCCTGTACTTGTCTTCAAGGAACTTCTTGATCCGACCGTACGTAACTTTCTGCCCAGAAACTTGAGAAGTCTTACCATAAGTGAAAGTTAGAACTCCAGTTCTTCTCCACGCGTCTGCGCCAACTTTTCGTTCTTTGACAAATGTCTCAAATGTCTCTTCTCCTATGTTAGGGTATTTTAAAAGAATACTAGCTACTCGATTTGGCAGTCGCTGTCGGAGAAGGCGAGCATTTGTTGCTGCTTTAATAGCTCTTCTTTTTTTCTTTCTCTTGTAGATTTTTCGTTGTTTAATAATCGTCTCTTTGGCTGCTTCTGAATTTAACTCAGTGATATTCAGCCAGTCATCCGGATTTACAACATCGCTGTCACTATCACTTTGAATATCTTCCGAATCCTCAGAATTGTATCTAATTCTTTCTGTTTCAAGGTACATGTATGCTTGCCTGGATTCTTCAATCAACTTCTTTTCTTCAACTGTTGACAGAAAAAGTGCAAAATCAGTCAATAGTTGATCAATTGATTCTGGAGAACATTCCCTAGCTAAAATGTTCAACTCTTCGACAAGTGCAAACCAATTCAGCTTATTTCTACGAAGAATTGGCAACATATGATTCGGTGTAGGGAGAAGCTGGATGCCTTGGCTTTCTTTAAGAGGTTGGCTGGTGTTAGCTTGGTCAGCGGTTAACAAGCTAGTATGAGCTGTGTGGTCAGGCTGTTCATTACATTCCATTATTTTTCTTTCATCACTGTCGGAGTTTCTTTGCTTGGAATTATCTTCTTCAAAGTCATTGGACACGCAGCATTCTGATTCTTCCATGCTATCAGAATCCGATTCAGAATCATCTGGAACATGGATGCCAAGTGCATTAAGAGATGCTGTGCTTTCTGCCTTAGCTAATTCTGCCATGGTTTTTCTGATGATGTATGTTGTTTCAATAGCATCCATAATCCTCTCCTCTTGTTTATGAAGGTCTCGAAATCCATATAATGTCTTAGCAGATTTTGCTGAGAGACCCATGCTTTTACAAGCAGTGTACTTAATTAGTAATCGGTCGGCTTCTGACGATGCATAGCCCGCGTGCAGGCCCAAGGGAACTGATAGTGGGCCTGCAAGCAAGGCCCGGTATTTTGTAAAACGCCCCTTTTCATAACACGCCCCATTCGCGCGTCAATTGTCAAAAAAGAACCAATGACAGCACCCAAATATTATTCAGAACATAAACAATTTGTACATGGCTGCGTTGTAACTCCAAAAAAACAAGCAATGCAGTCAGTAATTGCCAAATTTGCAAGTGCTCATTTTCAACTAAAATCGGAACAGGGAAATTACGACGAATTTCAACAGAAAACCAGTCTCAAACTTCAAATTGTGAGGGAAGTCCTGCGACCACATTAGCATTTATTATGTGTGCTTCGCTGTTGCCATTGTTATAAATAAATTGTCTCACTTATCAGATCATGTGTGCAATTCTTGTTGGAGGCGGAAAGTACGAAATTTATTTCAGTTATTTCATTTGGTAAAGAACTCTACAAAAGAAGAGAGCGTTCAGAGTTCAGATCGTTTTGTTTCAAACGGCAATTTAATACCGTCTTCTGTTTTGTTCTCTCAGCGAAGCCTTGTAAATCGCAAAGTGTTTTGAATAGGCTTAAATGCAACTGCATCTCAACATCAACCAAAAGATAATTTTCTTGAAGAACATATAACGTATCAAGTCTGTTTGAAATTAATGAAACTCAAGTAAAGGTTACTATAGTTTACCCCAGTCGTAATGAGTGCTATTCCAACACCTCAAGACAAGCAATCCCCATTGGCATAACGGCAAAAACATCTCTTCCTTCAAGTAAACAATAAACAGTCTGTTCTTGTTCCATTTATAATCGAAAAAAGTGATCAATTTTCGAATTTTAAGCTTATCGAGAGCCTTTGTGATGAATCACTTATCTAATTATAGAATCCAACAGCAAACAGCCAATCAGAATGCCGCGTTCGTGGGCGAACGCGGAAAGTACAAAATACCGGGCCTTGCTTGCAGGCCCACTATCAAGTTCCCTTGAGCCTGCTCCCTTGAGCCTGCACGCGGGCTAGGCGATGCAAGGTTGCATAACAGTAGCAGGCTCTCTTTTGGCATGTTAGCTGTTATCTTTCTATCGCTTTTCCCCAAGTTTCGTAATAAAAGAAACTGTTGGACTACCTTTGAGAAAGACAAGTAATTCATCCCAGAATATCTCTCTGCTACAAAACGTTTTTGTGACCCTGGACCTTGAAGTTCCAGTTCAAAGATAACAACAGGAAGTTGCATAACTTTTCGGATCGCTTTGTCAGATTGATACTTAACATTAGGGAATAATGTCCGAAAGAGATTGACTACACTCTGTCAGAAACTGACTACACTCTTTCCAATCGGAATGTCTTTGCACTTTGCAGTAAAGCTTTCTGACAGCTACAAAATCTAACAAACTAACAACTTGAATACTGGACACGTAAATGCCTCTAGCTGGTCGTTCAGCGTGCTTTATTTCAGTAACACAACTCATGTATCGCGTAAAAACGCCATGTTCTAAAGTTATAAAATTATCGTGCAAGCAATGTTTTTCAGTTAAACCAAGACTGTCAACAGCCCCATGTCCAAATGACGAGGAGCCTAATGGCATAAAAAAACAACTTTTCTAGAAGAGGTTTCGTTGTCAGAGATATTTTCTTCAAATGCACTGTCCTCTTCGGCATCACTTTTGTTGAAGGTTATTATAGCTGACTTTGGTGATGGTGTGCTGGATTTAACATTATTCTGATCTGATATGCCTGGATTCCGCGCCATTTCTTCATTGCCTTCAAGATATGAACTTACAAGGCCAACCAGGGAAACATTTGAAACTTCACTATCTTTTGGATCTGTATCTGTGGATGGAACACAATTTTCTGAGCCATCAACCATATCTTCACTATCCTTGGTAGAGAAGGTTGGTTCACTTCCAGAGTAATTATGACATTCTTTGTTTTCTGCAACAACCACCTTCGGGTCAATACGACTACCCAAATCTAGCTCAAATACACAAGCATCGGTATTTCTACTTTCAATATTACGCGATTTTGCAAAAAAAGCCTCGACGCTTCTTTGATTATCACTTTTGACATCACTAACACACTTACTCTTTGTGCAGCTCGATTGTTTGTTCTTGTGATAGCTTTTAGATTTTGCCTCCTTCGCTCGAATAGTAGTAAGCTGGTCGGATAATTGGCGTTTTTCTTTACGTTTTTCGCCCATTTGTTGAAGTATCTGTGCAGCTTGTGGGTACTTCTGCATGTTAACTAGCTTGGCTCTTTCACTTTCTAAACAACTGATGACTTTGTCAACAGTTTCAATGTCTTCACAGAGTTCCGCGATTCTTTTCTGTCTCAATCCATCTGTTAATTTTTGCCGTTTTCCCCCCTTGTTTTCTTTACGACCTGATTCTGCACCAAATCTTGTTGAACGACTTCTTTTCTTAACATAAGTGTACCCATCACTATCAACCTTCTTTCTAGCGAGATCAAGAAGCTTGCCTTTAGTTTTCACAAGACTTGGATTTTCAAGGCACAATTGGAAAGCAGCATCATTTATACTTTTTTGGTACTTGGTAAGATTGACGGAATCTGAATTTGCACTATATATTTGGGATTCTTTCTTTATGGATTCTCTATCCATTCAAATAGATATTTATCATTTGCTTCTTGCTGGATCTAGCCAAATTAGGAGAGTATTTGTTTAGAGATTTTCTTTAGTGGATTGACCTCAGCACTTGAAAAACTCATCTAAGCAGAGTTTGCTTAGTTCTCTCCTATGCTGAGTGTTTTCTTTGGGAAATACGGTTTCCTACCTCACTGAAAACTAACAGCAAGGCATTAATAACTTAACAAATTGACTTAACCAATCGAAACCTTTGTGCATTGGGTTGTAGAACCTGCTTTCTATTCACACATCAAGAACGATCAAAGTTGTTTATTATATTAGTTGTTAGTTATTCATTTGGTTAGATTGCAATGCTATGTCCACAACTTTTAATTGGGGTCAGGCGAGAAACTACAAAAATGGAATGTTTAGCCTTAATATTTTACTATATTTGAACTTTTGAAAATGGTAAAATAAAATGATCTAGTCTTAATTTAGTCGTTAAATTAGTAAATTACGATTATGTCCATTAGCTCAATAATTGATGTATAATAGTCTAAAATATATTTTCACCTTCTTTACGGTAAATATACATATATAGTATCTTCCACTTCGAATATATATAATTAAGTTTATATGCATGTTAATGTTTTATGTTATATATTTATATACTTTTTTCTTGCTCAATCTAATAATTCAAACTGACTAAATATAAGAATGAAATAATGTAAGGGGTATGTATTAATTAAAAAGCCTATTATGAATGAATGAATGAATTTAATGCCACAAATTGATAATAATGGAAGGCCCCTAGCCTATCCAAAATAAAAAAACAAAATGTAAATAACTTCTAAATACTTTTTACGGGCATAATAATAAAAAACAAAAAGAAGCAAAACGAATTATTGTCTCATTCAGTGCAGCTTGCCAGTTAGAACAGGAAGTGAATACGACAAATAGTGCCTTTATGTGAATGTTTATAAAATTACAACACATGTACAAATTTGAATTCAATTTGAATATTTTTTAGTAATCAAATAACATATGCGATGTCAGTATTTGCTCCCAGCAGCTACAGAAAGGCCATACGTTGTACTTCATCTTATTAAATGTTTACGTTCCAACCATAAGTCTGGATGAATAGCATACCAGGCATTAGGTTTTTAGATTACCAAGAAACAAAATTTCATTAAACATGTTAAAAAGTGGGGGGGGGGGATAATTAGATATTCGTCCCCCCACTCAAAAAACTGGGGGGACAGGTCCCCCCCCAGGATTGACGTTCATGGACTTTATGAAGTATATGTGAAAATGTTTCAAAAAATAATTTATTTGCCATGTTTGTCCAAGTAAATTTGTCTATGATTATAGCTACTTAAAGTCTTAAACGAAGACTACCAGACATATGGTCACTTTGACAGAAATACACATTTCAGTAACGAGATCTGCTCTGGATAACAATTTGAATTTTTTTTATACTACTGTATAATTAATGTAGTACTGTACCTCAAGTTCAGGTCCAAGATCCTCGAGGTTGCTGGTTAATGCGAGCTGCCCAGTTCTATGTACTGTGATTTTATTTTTATCTGGTCCCTGAAGAAGAAAAAACCCCAATAATTTAAATACCATTTTAATGATTAATGATGATACTGTAATTTGAGAAAATATAATTAATTCCACTAAAAACCCTTACTCAAACCTTATTACCCAACTTGTTATTGTGACTAGTTATTGCCCAACTTATTGCCCAACTACTGTAGTTAGTGTAACTAGTTATTCTGTACCTTTGTCTTTTTTGCTGGTGGTGGTTTAGGGTTGTCCTCGTCCCCTTCACAGCTGCTTGTCTATATTTGAAAAATCCATGACATATATCATTTATACTATTTCTAACATATCAATTCTATTAATACACAAAACAAACCAACCTTGTTCAGTTTAACCTGCCTCAAAACGGCCATAACATCGCCAATGGCAGTTATACCAATTTCTTTGAGCAATTCTTTATTTAAATCACCAATGTGATCTTTTTGTATTCTAGTTAAATGAATATTAAAATACATTAAGTACACCACTAAAATATGCTGACTTTCGACATTCGTTAGTGACAGAAAGTTCTACACACTTAAATTATTTAATATCATAAATGCATACATGACGCTTTATAGTGTTCTTTTTATATATTTGCACCATAAAGTCATATTTGAAAAAACACAGTTTGTGAATGCCAAAAATGTATACAAATAATGAATGTTTATGAGTGCAATGGTATGAATATTTTCACGAGGTGAAAGATTGAGTGTTCCATATTCCATAAAATATATACAGTGTATATATTAAAACAGTATATTTCAGAACTATCCTCAGAGATACGAAAATATCAAACTGATAAACAGTATAAATACCAGTTTTCTTCAAAACACCTCGCATTAGGGCGCGGATAGGGTCAAATTTTATGAGGTGTGATATCCGCCAAAATTCATTTATTGAATCATGCTATTCAAAATTGCATTTATTGCATTTTGTTGTGCAATTATGCAATGCCTACTTGCAATTATGGCAAATTTCATTCGGAGTGAAAATTCATTCGGCTTGCGATTTCATTCGGAGTGATATTCATGTTTCATTCGGAGTGAAATCAATATTCGCCGTGCAATTTCATTCGGCGTGAATTCAATATTTGTGAAATTTCATTCGGCTTGAAATTTCATTCGGCTTGAAATTTCATTTGGCTTGAAATTTCATTCGGCTTGAAATTTCATTCGGCGTGGCACTCAGAAACCAAAATTTGACAACCGGAAGCGAGATGTCTGGAACATAGCAATATCATAGAGTAAATCAAATATGGCGGAAAGCTTGAGAGTTGACGAAAATCGTAGTCAAACAAGAATCGAGCTTACTAATGTGTTGCATTCTGTACTGAGGCAACTACAGTCAGAAAACATTGATGAAAATGTAATTGATAGCGTACAGTATCGTCTTGACTGGATATATAGCACGGTAGTGAGGTACGTTGATTCGGATATTGTTGATGGGAGGGTTGTTAACTGCATACGATTGGCTAAGGAATGCCTACAACAAAACTTGGGGAGCAACACTTCCCAAGCACTTGCAGTTGAGAGTTTTTTCTGGAGAGCGGGGCAGACCACGACTTCAAATACCGTTCGAACAGCTGGAATTTTTATTGGAAAAAAAATTCAAGATTGATGAAATTGCAAAATTATTCAGCACCAGTAAACGTACAGTTGAAAGGCATATGAGTGACATCAGGCTGTCTGCCTCAAGTGTTTATACTTATTTATCCGATCAACAATTACATGCATTAATAACTGACATTCAAAGAGATTTTCCAAATGTTGGTTGCAAGAGAGTAACTGGTCTTCTGAGGGCGAGGGGTGTCTACATGCAGCAGGCCCGTATCCGTCAATCCATGCGCAGAGTCGATCCTGAAGGAATCCTCCTACGAGCACTTGAAATGAGCATCATTCGGCGAAGACGTTACAATGTTGCTGGCCCTCTTTCCTTATGGCATATTGATGGAAACCACAAATTAATACGGTATGTTATTAATAGCTGTGTATAGTAGCCTGCAGCACACTTGTAGCAATGCTGTTCCAACAACTTGTTAACAGGATGTGCTTGCATTGCTTGTTCCCAGCTTGTTACAGGTCTGCAGCAGACTTGCTACAAGGTTGTACATGTTGATTCTGTTTATTGCTAGATACAAAATGATCACATGATAACAATAACTAATCTATAATATATTCATAAGCCAATTCATACTGTTACCACCCACCCCCCTGCGGGGACGTGCATTGCAAAAGAAAATATCCCAGGGGTGGGAAATTGTCAAAGGGATATTATCCCCGGGGGTATAGGGCGGGGATCTAGCAAAGATGAGAAGTAAATAGGAGCCTGGTAACTAAACATCAAAATTTGCCCGGGGAGATGGTAACAATACGAATTGACTCATGCATTATAGGTTATTAGTTGGAAAAAATACAAAATAAACCTTTCTTCATTGCTTACTTTGGGAAAAATGGTTTTCTCTATTTTGAAAAACTCTTCAGGCCAATCAGCAATCGCAACCAAGCACCGTGGAGAATTTAAAATAATCACCTACAATCAGTGACATTGAAATGTGGGACACTTCTAAAAC